CATCGACTTTGTGAGTATATGTGGGACCTCACCAACAGGTAATCATCATACCACACCTTCGTCTAATCATCCACCATCAATATCCCCCTTCAGGTTTACTGCCTTCTATACCGAGTGTAAGGTCGTTGGATCAGACCAAGAGCGTTCCCGACTTTTACTCTGTGAGGCCACCAGACGTGTTTTAGCCCAGTGTTTCGACATCCTCGATATCACACCTCTCGAGAGGATCTAATCCTCTATACAGTCCTCTACAACCACTGTCGTGATAACGTTACACTGCTTTCTGTTCCCATCTCCGGTTTTTGAGTTCACATGTATAATTGCTACACCTCATGAGTTACTGTGACCAGGTAACCAAGCAAAGGAAAGCAAGCAGTTAGTGTTGCGATAGTCCTCGAGGCGAGATAGTCAACAATTGGCATCAGAAACCTTGTAATGGTAGTGTAATAAGAAGTCAAATAAGGAACACTATGATACTTTCTAATCGATTACCTCCTGCTAGCCGTAGTATGTGCGTAAACAACACGGCTGACACACTTAACGCGTATCTAACTACACCCCCAAGCACATGAATTTTTTTCATCGCAAATTTGAAGGCCAAGCCCAAAACACGCGTCGTTTTGATAAAACAGACAGTCACTATACAGCGCACGCGTGCTAGTTTGCAGCGTCTACCACCACGTCTGTCGTAGTCCGTGGCTAATGCAATTTAGATCAACACATACATCCAACATCAAGCACAAGGCCAGCTTGTTTCAAGACAGTCTTGTCAAGACATGCAACCTTGTCAAGACTGAGTCTTGACAAGACTGCACCTTTTGCATATCTGATGTTCGCGTGACATCTTAGTTGTATTATGAACCTCGACATCAATGGTGTTAAGTCATTTTCGCTCACGCAAGATGATATAGGTTACGGATATGCGTTGACCAATGGCAGCGCCATCAGTGTGGATGCCTCCAAGTCCAACTCACCATAGATAAGCCTGCGCCTGTTCCGAGTGTGGCAATTCAACACTTTGATCGTGAGCTTAGTGTGTTACAGCAAAACACATAAAAGCTGCCCTCAAAGTCGCCACTTTAAAACGCAAGATTCGATGGTCAAACGTGTGTGTGGAATATGAATAGCCTACCTCTGATCGATAGAGTCATGCTGATGAGGTAGACTCTGATTCATAGGGAGGAAGGGCTTCTGTGCCGACACCGGCAGCCCCACTCGACAAGCCAACTGAAATCAGACGCCAATTAACGCATGAACGTGTCCTGCTGACTTTTCTCATCGGTGAACATTTATCTAGAACTCTCTACTCATTCCCCGATCGATTTTGTAGAGATGAAAATACGCTCGATATGATGACGGAATCAGTATGGCTCTAAAGCACTTATCCGCTTAGTAAAGGCCGATGTGTCCTATCACTACTGCCAAGTACGGCTATTAGTAAAATAATCAGAAAATAGTCGCTGCTTCCCCGCCACGATGCTTGTTGTACTGCTATACTGAGTGATACTTTATAACGAGGCTGAAGTTTATTTCTCATTCATTCTGATCATATCATTTCATCACGATGTCTGCTCAACATAGATTCGAATCGGCAGTCCGGCTCACCCCTCGGGCCTCATGTTCACATCCCTTAGCTGAGTTGCCTACGGCTTCCGCCAGTTTCGATATTAAACTATTATCGGACTGTCTCGCCAGAGCCATCGCCGCCTCCCGTGTATGGTACGCTTCCCGAGCAGCATCAACTATGGCCGACCTCGGGTCTTTGCTGGCGAGCGCTAAATCGTTGATATCCTGAATGTTGTATTCACGAAACGAGTAAGTGTTAGTAGAATTACTAAAGGATGATCGGCTGACGACAAAACGACTCCCACACGGGGATAAACTGGAGGGAAATCTTTGTGGTGTGTCGAGGAATGAATCGTCACAGACTGCTGATTGGGACCAATAGCAGTATGAGGACATATCGCTGGGTGAACCATACTGCTCGCAAATTTCCACAATATTTTGCTCGATTTTCCCAGTAATTTTCCTTTTTTTTGATAGGAGCAATGGTAACATCACCATCTGTGATCCACAGATATTCAGGATGGTGCTGATATTCAGTATGACGTATCACAGACTTCGATACAGAAACCCTTTCTATTCTAACTAGCGTCATCAATTGAAGTCTGTACTTTATCAGAAGATCAGCTATTTCATTAAAACCTCGGGGTAGTCCATATGAAAGAGTCGGTTAGGAATCAGACAAATGGTATTTTCCCATCGAAAGTGGTTATCGAGAGTTCGGCCAAAGCTGACATTTTAGTACGGCCGAGATGAACAGCGATTATGCGCGGGTGAAACCGTCCGGATGTGTAAAATATTCCGCTGTTGTGTAAAGCCGGAAAAATTTCCCCCAGCGTTTACTGTAGCTGTAGGTGTATATGTATGGCTCCTCTCTAATTCCGTCGTATTTGGTAGTGGTCGCAGAGGTTTGCTGCGTGGAGTCAACGTATAATCAGTCTCTTCGCATCCTAACATTCGATTGATTTTCCCGTAATGTTGCGTTAACAGTTGCAGAGTGTATCTTTCCCATCATCGTTGTTGGCAGGTTTTCCTTGTGAACCTTATCATTGAAAATGGCTCAGATAAACCCTCAGTTTCAAGCCATAGGCGAGCAGTTCGTACAGCAGTACTATCAGACCTTCGATGCAAACCGAAGTCAACTAGGTCCTCTCTACGGAGGTAAGCGTCAGCAGACATACACAAGCTTGCAGTTTCTCTTGTTAGAATCATCCATGCTGACCTTCGAGGGCGAGCAGTTCCAAGGTGCCGCTAACATCGTGCAGAAGATCGCCGGCCTTCCCTTCCAGAAGGTCAGACATCAGGTATCATACCACATTTCCGCTACATAGTAGGCTGAATACCACCATACTGTTAGATCATCAAGGCCGATTGCCAGCCCAACCCTTCCAACAACGGTGTGATCGTCTTCGTCACCGGCAACCTCTACGTCGATGACAACGCCAACCCTCTGAAGTTCGGACAGGTATGAGCTAAACTTGAGTTCAAGTCCTTGTGTAAATTGTGTCGTCATCAGGTCTTCCATCTCGCGCCCAACCCGAGCACTGGTGGCTTCTACTGCATGAACGACCTATTCCGTCTCAACATCGGTTAAGCGGAGGTGGTTTTTCGCTGCTGGCATACTCGCATGCTGGTGAAGGAGAGGCTGGGATTTGAACCTGGGATCATTCGATTATTCACAGAGTGGCAGCCTCAGTCTCTCGTTCCACTAAAGCTGCCTGTTCATCATCGCAGTGGAGGTGTGAGTTATGTACCGCCGTTTCCTATTAATTCCAGTCTATGCTAAGTTGATTTAATTCACCGTAGTATCATGTATAACTCAACTGGTTCTGAAAAATGTCTTTCTAACAGCAACATTCCAGTACTCTTTTGCGTCGTACATACTACTTGGTCTGAACTGAATAACTGCTCTACTTAATAACGCAACACAGATCTCGTCAAGTGGTTAGCACATCGACATCAAGTGTAACCAAGCCGGCGATGGCGTTGGACTCTAAACCGACATATACACCAGGTTGCAAAATCGTTACAGCAAATATGTATAATGCAAAGTCAAAGTTGGTCATCGTAGTATAAAGACCATACGGGAGAGTATGAGGGAATACAGATCTACCAGGTTGATCTGAACTGAATAACGTAACAAGGAGCTCATCGAGTGGTTAGTACATCGCCATCGAGTCTGACCGAGCCGGGGACGGCGTTGGACTTTGAACCGACACACTTCTTCTGCTAGAATCTCCCATGTAGCACACAATCAGGCCGAATGCAACCGATTATAAGTTAGATTATATCATCGAGATAATACACTCATTGGGTTTAGTATTTCGAACTAATCAATTCTTGTTAGGATGAACGTCTGTATTAGAGATACAGTGCAAGTGTGTTAGAAGATACAACTATAGCTGAAGGCCCCACCGAGAGGCACACAATCATATGGCGATCCTCTAGCTGGTACGAGCTATTAAGGATGATACTCTGGTCCGAATTATTTTCGTGAGATCTATCGTTGATCAAAAGGTATTTCATCTGAAAGTACTTTTGAGGTATATAAGGTTCGCTAAGACAACATATACTAGGCGATACGTTCCGCACAAGGTCTTCGCTTTGACAACAACGACGTATTCTCCGTCAGAAACTCAACACAAGACTTAGAGGATTGTACTGGACAATATAATGTACAATATTCAATAGACAAGCTACTCTTTGAAGTCTAAAAGATAATCTATTCTCTCATTGATACTATCGATTTCCTTTCTGACTTCTTCCATTCTGTTAGAATGCTTCGTCATAGCTTCAACTGATGGGAACTTGAACCGCCCATGGGAACTCCTATCCCAAACATCCTCGAGTTCATCCAATTGTTTCTGCCTCATCTTCAGTGCTTTTCGACGCTCTTTCAGCACAGGGCCGGGCTCACTGGGTTCGATCTTCTGCAAACGTTGTTGAAGGTCGCTAATGTGCGGAAGCACTTTAGCACGATTCAACTCCAATTGAAGCAACTCCATCGCGGCTTCCTTATCCTCCTCAGTACAAACGAATGTTGGCGACTCTATTTCCTTCCGGAACGCCTCGAAAAGTGTCTTGAAAACCTCCGACAGATCATGACCAAGATACAGCTTTTGATCTTCAGTAAGATTGCCAGCAAGACAACGAGTTTCCACTATAGCATGGCTCAGCCCTCTCAAAGTGAGCGACTCTTTTGTGAGTTCTTGCAGTCTTTCCAACTCTTTTTCCACACTTTCCTCATCATCACTGCTCACATCAGAAGCTTCGGCGACTTGTATGTCCATCACTGGATAAACTTTGAGGACCTTGGTGGCGATGTCTTTATCCGCGATGATCTTGAAAGTCCCCCTCTCGTCCTTGCAAGCATGTCGGCTCTCCTGTAATCCTGCTTGACGCAGTCCGTCAGCAACAGCCTTACTCAGATCGACAGCCATTTTAGTATTGGAATGCTTTCCCCTTCCAATGACGAAGGTGAAGTAGTGCTGTTCAAGCTTAGCCTTACTCTCCTCCGTTTGTACGTTGATATGCACTGGTTGGGAGAAAGCACCAATCATCGTCTCCTCAGCGAGTTGACAGGAGTAGCCATGGAGATCGAACTCAGTGTAGTCCTCACCGAAGGACTTCCGCTCGGCCTTCATAATGCGAGCCGGAAAATTGCGATGTTTCGTTATCCTTCGTGGCAAACTCGTCGGACCAGAGGCCGAAGACTGACTACCGCGATGATCGGATGAACGAGGCATTTTCGTGAGGGAGAAAACTAGGAAGATGCTGGTGGTGGAGTTGAAACGCGATAGTGTTGCATGCACGAGACAGTTTGGTGAAGTTGAAGGCATCTGTACAGAGGATTAGATCCTCTCGAGAGGTGTGATATCGAGGATGTCGAAACACTGGGCTAAAACACGTCTGGTGGCCTCACAGAGTAAAAGTCGGGAACGCTCTTGGTCTGATCCAACGACCTTACACTCGGTATAGAAGGCAGTAAACCTGAAGGGGGATATTGATGGTGGATGATTAGACGAAGGTGTGGTATGATGATTACCTGTTGGTGAGGTCCCACATATACTCACAAAGTCGATGACATTGAAGGTCTGAGAGAACAGACTGCATCACTTCAGCGAAGCGGAGGATCTCCAAAGCCAAAGACCGCTCCTTCTCCTCTGTGATGACGACTTCTTCAGATGAGTAGTCGAGACCCGAACTGATGATTATCGGAGGAGATGTCGAAAATGAAAATGTTATGTGTTTTTACTGATAATCAAAGTTCGCCTTCCTGAGGATACTGCAAATTCTGGCGTAGGCGTAAAGTAGGAAGACCGCAGTGTTGCCCTTCGGGTCGAGCATCTTGTCGAAATTGAATATGTAATTGGTAGTTCTGTTTTGGCGAAGGTCGAAGTATCGAACAGATGCAACACCTGAAAGATAATCTATTAGATACCACACCTCCATCACATCATCATCACCAATGATCTTCGATGCTCTATCGAATTCCTCTTCAGTGAGTCCAGTCGATCGTCCGGCCGCCTCCCCTTCCCCCGCGTTAAGTCTCGACTCCAATTCCTTCCTCGCCCTGTCCTCGGCCTCATCGAGAAAGGTCAGTCAACTTCACAGTGGCGCCCTGAAGGGAATTTATAATAATCAATAACCGTCGAGATGACGACGACCCACCGATCGAGTTTTGAATTTTTTGCCATCATCACCACAGACGACACCAAAGCCGAGGTATTCGAGTTTAGTTTGAGGAGGATGATGCCACCGGCCATCTTGGCGACTTCAAAGAGCTTCT